TTGTCCTTCCAGATGGCTGTGCTTGTGGGTTTGGTACGAAGTTCCCTCTAATTATTTGTTCTGCTGTAGGGACCTCCAGCCTCCGTCAGATCAGTGGCGTCCAAAACCATGCGCCATGTGCAGAATCTCCAAGCGGCCATGCAGCGTAGAGGGAATGTAGATTTGGAGAGTGCTAATGATCTTTGATGAATTTCTGCAGTGCATCTTGTAGATGGTATACACTGCTGCTACTGAATGTTGGTGCTAGAAGGAGAGAATGCTTCCTGATGCGGTGTCAATCAAGCGGGCTGCTTTGCCCGGGAAGGTGTCAAGCTTCCTGTGTATTGTTGGAGCTGCCCCCATTCCAGGCAAGCGGGGAGTATTGAATCACGCTCCTGAGCACCTGTACTCTGTTCGCAAACCATTTCAACTCCCCCTCCCACTCCCTGGGCGACATGTCCATCCTGGGCCTCCTCCAGTGTCATAATGACGCCACCCACAAACTGGAGGAGCAGCACCTCAAATTCCACCTTGGGACCCTACAGCCCAATGGCCTAAATGTGGACTTTACCATTTTCAAAATCTCCCCACCCCCATGCCGTCATCCCATGACCAACTCTCCCTTTCATCCCTGCCTCCTTGACCTGACACAACCTGTCCATCATCTCTCCCACCTATCCGCTCCTCCCACCTCACTGACCAATCCCCACCACTCCCTACCTGCACTCACCAATCACCATCCCACCTACCTTCCCCAGCCCCACTCCTCCTCTCTCTATTTATTCCTGAACTCCCTTCCCCCTTCCCCATTTCTGAGGAAGGGTCCCGACACGAAACATCAACTTTCCTTCTCCTGTGATGCTGCCTGGCCTGCTGTGTTCCTCCAGTTCCACACTGTGTTATATCTCACACTCCTGACCTGTGCCTTGTAGATGATGGACAGGCTTTGGAGAGTCAGCAGGTGAGTTAGTCACTGCAGAATTCTTATCCTCTGACCTGCTGTTGTAGCCATTGTGTTTACATGGCTAGTCCAGTTCAGTTTCTGGTCAATGGTAACCCCCTGAGTGTTTATAGTGGGGAATTTAGTGATGGTAATGCCATTGAATATAAAGAGGCAATGGTTAGATTCTCTCTTGTTAGTGATGGTCATAGCCTGGCATTTGTGTGACATGAATGTTAACTGCCACATGTCAACCCAAGCCTGGATTTTGTTGAGGTCTTGCTGTATTTGGTCATAATATGCTTCAGTATCTGAGGAGTTGAGAATGTGCTGAACATCATACAGGGATCTGAAAAGATCTCCCTTTCTGACCTTATGATGGAGGGAAGGTCTTGATGAAGCAGCTAAAGATGCTGCTTCAGGGCCTACCCTGAGAAACTCCTAGAGAGATGACCTGGAGCTGAGATGACTGACCTTCAAGAGCCACAACCATCTTCCTATGTGCAAGGTCTGACTCCAGTCAGTGGAGAGTTTGCCCCTTATTCCCATATAGGGCTTCTTGATGCCACACTCAGTAAAATATCAAGGGCTGTCACTTTCACCTCACCTCTGGAATTCAGCTTTTCTTGTCCCTGTTTGAACTGAGGCTGTAATGAGATCAGGAGCTGAGCAGTCCTGGCGGAACCCAAACTCAGCATTACTGAGCAGGTGCTGCTTCATAGCACTGTTGATAATACCTTCTGTCACTTTACTGATCATCGAGAGTAGACCAATGGGGCAGTAATTGACTGGGTTGGATTTGTCTGCTTTTTGTGTACAGCGCATTCCTGGGTAATTTTCTACACTGTGGGGTAGATGCCGATGTTGTTGCTGTAAAGGAACAGTTTGGTTCGGGACGCAGCAAGATCCAAAGCACAAGTCTTCAGTGCCAGCGCCAGAATGTTGTCAGGGCCCGTAGCTTTTGCAGTATCAAGTGCCACCAGCCCTTTCTTCATGGCATGAAAGTGCATGAAATTGGCTGATGTGTGGCACATTCAGCAATGATTCCCCCCCAAAGTCCATGCCTGGCAGCTTCAGTTTCCACTTATACACTGATGACACTCAACTTGTGACCTCTTTTGACGCCATCACTATCTCTAAACTGTTTAAGGCTGCTTATCTGACATGTAACAGTGAACGAGAGAAAATACCTTCAACTATATACTGGGAAGACCGACTCCATTGTCTTCTGCCCCTCTGTAAGCAACTGACAGAGATTGACCCAGACTGTTCACAACTTTGGTGTGTCATAGTTGAAGTCAACTAAGCTTCCAACCGCCTACTTGTGTCATACTAAGGCTATTCCCACCTTTATACCATCACCCTCCTCTGACCTCATCTGCACCGAAACCTTCAGCCATGCCTTTGTTACTGTATGTTTAGAATTAACTATTCCAATGCGCCACTGCCTTCTCATGTTGTACCCTCCTGAGGTCATCAGAAATTGTATCAAGGGCTATTCAACCACCATCTCTTAGCTCATGGCCTACACTGGCTCCTGAATGGACTAGAACAAAACTTTGAAATTCTCCTCCTTGTTTTCATTTCCATCCATGGCTTCCTGCCTTCCTATCTCTGTAAACCCTTCCAGACTCTCAATCCTCTGAGACACCTGAGCTTATCTAATTCTGGCTTCCAGTCATCCCAGCATTAGTGTCAGTGCTGCCAGCTGCCACGGCCCCAAACTTTGTGGTTTCCATCTGAACCTCTCTGATGTGCTTTCCCCCTCCTTAAGAGGTGCCTTAAAAACCTGCCTTCTTGACCAACTGCCTTCCTATCTTCTTTTGTAACTCCCAGTCTATTTTTGCTTTATAATTGCTCCTGTGAAATGTCTCAAGGTGTTTAATTGTGTTATAGTTGTCATTTATGCATGTTTCCTCTGCAGTCATCCCCTCAGATTGAAGAGAACTTGCTTCCACTGTGGTTTGGAGGTTGATAAGTCAATGCAATGATCAGCCATGCTGCGACTCTGCCATGCGTGGGGCACATGGTACTCCAAGAGCTGGGTTTGTTTGGAGTTTTGCGCACTCCTGCTGATTCCCCAGTCTTTGCCAATTCACATTCCTGACAAGGTTTCTTGATTGTTATACGATGCATCCCTAAATCAGCTTCCTCCATTTTGGTTGGATACAAATCAAGGTCACCCATGAGTTGACAGGAGATGCTTGACCTTTTCAGGGGTACTTCAAGCACTTCTCAAATTGCACCTGCCATCCTGCTCAGAGTCTTGAGTGGAGCAGTTCCTCCAAGAGCATGGTATCTGACACATCAACAACAAAAAAACTCTGCCAATTAAACAAAAACAAGGCAGCAACCAAATAACCAGCAGAATGGAATGATATCAAAGGCAGGTGTGTTTTGCATTTTGGGGTCATCAGCAGACTTTCTCAGAGCCAGGGTTTGGTGGTTTAGTAGGTGGCTGGCAGAAGATCTTTTTGGCACCAGATTTGGAGGATCTTGTAAAGGCAGTGGTGACATTCTTCCAGAGCACTGAGCTGCCCAGTATGTTTAAATATCTGTTCAGCGGTGTTATTCTCTAAAAGGTACCATCTCCAGGGCACAGGTGAGGAGTGCAATGGAATACTCCCCACTTGCCTGGTTGAGTGCAGCTCCAATGACACTCCAGAAGCCTGACACCATTCCAGGACAAAGCAGCCCACTTGATTGGCACCACATCCACTCCCTCCAGCACCAACACTCAGTAGTAGCAGTGTGTACTATCTACTAGGTGCACAGCAGAAATTCACTACAAACCTTCCAACCCCAGAACCCCTTCCATTTTAGAAGGACAAGGGCAGCAGATATATGGGAACACCTCTACCTGCAAGTTCTCTACCAAGCCACTCAACATCTTGACATGGAAATATATTGCCATTCCTTCAGTTGTTGCTGGGTCACAATCTTGGAATTCCCTTCCCAGGGGCATTTTGGGTCAACCAACAGCTTTCTCCATAGACTGCAGTGGTTCAAGAAGGCAGCTCACTACCACCTTGTCAAGGGCAACTGGGGATGGGCAATAAATGCTGGTCAACATCCCTGTCCCATGTGTGAATAAAAGAAAAACGAACCTCTGGGGCAGGTGTGTCTTGACCCTGGGCGCTCTGGATGTGGAGTCAGGTACACCACCTCTGCAACACAAAAGCCTCTTCCACCCCTCTCTCACTGTACTCTTTTTATTTCAAAAATACATTTTATTCATAAAGATATCTTTATATACATACGTAGTCGCTGAAGTGGTTCTATTCTGTACAGTAGCACATGAAGGAACTAACAAACATTGGTGTTCTGAGGAAGGGTCACTGGACCCGAAATGTTTACTCTTACTTTTTCTTCAGATGCTGCCAGACCTGCTGAGCTTTTCCAGCAATTTCTGTTTTTGTTCCAAAAAAAATTGGACTTTGTCTCCGTCCAATGAACAAATCAAAGGCATTTATTTCCTCACCATGCTCCTTTTTTTTAAATTTCAAAATATACTTTATTCATAAAAAATGTCTTTATATATGTACATAGTCACAAATGCAGTTTGGTTTTGTACAATAGCTTATCAAGGAAACAAACATTGGAGTTTGACTCTATCCAAACCAAAGATATCTCTTGAAAAAGACCATGTTTACATGCATTTGAGGCATAAAGAGTGTGATAACTGAACAGATCCCTCTCCCCCGCCACCCTAATTTCATGATCCCTCCCCGTACTCCTGCTGAACGATAGGGATGCTGCTTTCTTATTAGAACGAGGGGACTGGTGGTGAGATTAACCTCTCAAGGTTAGAGAGATTAACTTTAGGGTCATCATGCCTCAGGCATTCAGAAGTTGGGATGTTCATGGTAACTTAAGCCGATGTGGGAATTAAATCAATGCTGTTTGTCACACTCTCCATCACAAACCAACCATCCAGACAACTTGACTCCCTCAGTCCCCCTCAGGGGCACATGTAACACACATAGATACAGTAGGCTGAGTGATTGACAGGTGGGCAGGGCAGGGGGCGCGGCCACATGCGGCGCGATGACGCAGTCACGCAGCGCAGTTAGCGCAGGCGCGGTAGTAGCGCGGGCTCCATTACTGCCCAGGAGGAGGTGACGGGACGGGACAGCGAGCGCCGGCGATGGAGGCGGTGAACCGCGCTCTCGGGGCCTTTCCTACCGCCCTGGCCGGAGGCCTCGGGCTCGGTATCTGCGCTACCGGAGCTGCCATCTACAGGGTGGCCACCAGGTAAGCGGGGGGATGGACCGGCGATGGGGTCCGCGGTGTTGCTCCCCCGCCCAATCAGAGTAACCCCCCCACCCCCGCCCAATCAGAGTAACCCCCCCACCCCCCCGCCCAATCAGAGTAGCGGTAGGAAAGGCCCCGAGAGCGCGGTTCA